CTTGGCCCTAGTATGATTATGCTATCTCTATTAGGGACCTTAGATTGTACGCCCCTTGAGGGTTAGGGACCTTAGTACTCCCCTTGAGGGTTAGGGACCTTAGATTGTACGCCCCTTGAGGGTTAGGGACCTTAGACTGTATGCCCCTCGAGGGTTAGGGACCTTAGATTGTACACCCCTTGAGTGTTAGGGACTGATATGAATGTACAATATATATGTAAAGTGCTGCGTACATTGATGGTGCTATATAAGTACCTGAAATAAATAAGTAAAACCACTTGACCACTCACATGTCCCAGTGGACGGATTTGCCTTCCTTTATTTAATGTTTTCCTAGCAGAAAAATGTCCCATAATCCTGAAGTAGGAGAATAAATGCCTCTTTGTTTGAAGGGAGCTGTAACTGGACATCAGTGAATAAGAGCTCTGAATTACTCAGAGAAAAAAAAAGAGTTCTAATACTTCAAATGAATACCTTGTGGTTCTGCAAAATCAGCTTCAATTCTCAAATGTTACAAAGATACTGCAGTTCTTATCCCTTAATTAATGCACTTTTGTAATTGGCTAATGCTTTACATGATCCCTAAATAGGGGTATAGATACTTCTGTGTCTGATAGGAGGTGATTGCTCAGAGGATAAGAGCCCAGTCTATTGCTTAGAAAAAGTTCTAATTCATCTGAGTGAAAGCCTTCCGGCCCCAGACAAGCCACTTCTCCCAAGTATTTCAGTAGCTTGAGCTCACTGCCTTAGTAAATGCTCTTTTCTAGTTGGCCGATTCCTTATATCGCTGAAATAAGAAGGTAATCGCTCCTGTTTTGAGAAGAGGTGGTGGGTCAGAGGGTTAGAGTTCTCGATGTAGTAAAAATTACCTCTGAGTGAAAACCTTATGGCCTTGGATGAGCCATTTTGCCTCTCCATTGTTCTAGGTTACAGGTCTCTTATCCCTTTATACTACTTATATTTTTAAACCCTATCAATGGACATGCACAGATGTGCCGCGGGGCTTGGGTCCCGAGAGAGCCCTGTGAAACATATGTGCATGTACTGGTTTCCAGGCCATCTATGCACGTGCAAACACTGGCAACAGGTGAGTCCAAAATCTTCCCTGTCATGGTGCATGTGCAGATGAGCCTATGGGCTCTGCTAGTACCCAGAGGCCAGATAGAGCCCCATGGGGGCATCTTTGCATGCACAGTAATGATGTCCCTGGGGGGCGGAGTCTGTCCAGAGCTCACACAGGCACAAGGAATCATCTCCATATTGTTGGTAATAATATTATATTTCTATGGTCGTCAGCTCCATCTAGTGGCCATAATGATTTTTTTTATTTTGCCATTTCTGAATAATACCTCATTATGGTCACTAGATGGAGCCAACGATCATAGGAGATAATCATATCACAGACAATACAGGGATAATTTGTTGTGCCTGTGTGAATGCATAGGACATCAGCATAGTAAATATTTTACCCCTTAGTAAATTCTTTGCTGGAAGGTGGAGAGCAGCTTTAATTGGGGATACTAACCTTTTGATATACAGATGACCACAAGACAGAGCCCTTTCCAGATCTGTATATGAACTTTACAGTCAAAATACGGAACAGCAATCAAGTAAAAAATGTTAATGTAACCTCAAAGATAACTTTCAAACTCTGAAAATTGTAGCAATCTCCATTTCAACAGAAGAATAATTATGCATGTTTTTCCAAATGAAATCAACTGCAAACTCAAATTATTTTTTTCTTTTAAACGTCACACAATGTGCCCGGTGGATTCTGAAAGCTTTGCTTTGTGGAGTCAATTTCAAGCTGTATTTTGTCAAAAGAATTTCCATACCAAATGAGAACATCTAAGAGGTAATGGTAAAGTTTCCTGATTATTCAATGGATTGTGTTATGAAAAGAGTAGAAACACCTACTCCATGTCTCTGTACAAGACGGCTTTGTTTCATGGAAAGTGAATCTAAAGTCAGAACATCTTCATAAGTTTTAAATATAGGAAGCAATAAAACTTTGGTCAGATTTTTTTAAATGTTGTCCCTTCATGTCGGTGACCCACCATAACACCAGAGGTTCCCTTATACAGTGAAGGAAATAAGTATTTGATCCCCTGCTGATTTTGAATGTTTTCCCGCTCACAAAGAAATGATCGGTCTAAGAATCGAATGTTCGGTGTATTGTAACACTGAGAGACAGAATAGCAACAAAAAAATTCAAAAGAAATGCATGTCTAGTAAATGATGCACTGATTGCATGTTCATGAGGGAAAAAAGGAATTTGATCCCCTTCACAAAACATGACTTAGTACTTGGTGGCAAATCCCTTGTTGGCCATCACAGAGGTCAGACGTTTCCTGTAGTTGGCCCCCAGGTTCACACACATCTCAGGAGGGATTTTGGCCCACTCCTCTTGGCAGATCCTCTCCAAGTCATTAAGGTTTGGTGGTTGACGTTTGGCAACTCGAACTTTCAGCTCTCTCCATAGATTTTCAATCGGATGAAGGTCTGGAGACTGGCTAGGCCACTCCAGGACCTTAATGTGCTTCTTCTTGAGCCACTCCTTTGTTGTCTTGGCCGTGTGTTTTGGGTCATTGTCATGCTGGAACACCCATCCACAACCCATTTTCAATGCCCTGGCTGAGGGAAGAAGGTTCTCACCCAAGATTTGACGGTACATTGCCCCGTCCATCGTCCCTTTGATGCGGTGCAGTTGTCCTGTCCCCTTAGCAGAAAAACACCCCCAAAGCAGAATGTTTCCACCACCATGTTTGACAGTTGGGATGGTGTGTTCTTGGGGCCACCCCCCATCACAAAGCCCCAATCACATAGTTACACCATCAAAAGCCACCCAATCAAACAATGCCCCATCACAGAGCTCTACAATCACACAGACTCCCCATTACAGAGCCTCCAGTCACACAATCCTCCATCACAGAGTCCCCCAATCACATAGTCATCCCATCACAAAGCCCACCAATTACAGAATGCCCCATCACAGAGTCTGCCAATCACACAGCCCCCTCCCCCACCATTACAGAGCCTCCAGTCACACAGTTCCCCCATTACAAAGCTCCCAAATACACATCCTCCCCATCACAGAGCCTTTAACAACACAATCCTCCAATCAAAAAGCACCCCAATTATACAAACCCCTCATCACAGATCCTCCAGTCACACATTCTTCCATCACAAATCACCCCAATCACATAATCCCCCATCACAAAGCCCGCAAATCACACAGTTCCTCCATCACAGAACCTGCTAATCACACAGTCTCCATATCCCCACATCACCATAACAACAAATGATGCCGTGCTTCCTGGCCCTAGAGTGTAATTGGTTGTTATGATGCAGGTGGGTACACCACCAGCACCATGGAAACGCATGATGCTGTTGCAGGGTAAACTGGGTTTCTTGCTCATGTAACCCTGAAGGAACCCAGATGACACCTAGGGTTGGTGAGGATCACTGATCAAGGCATACCTGAATGACAATGCCTCCATATGCTATTGAAGGCATTGTTGGTGTACTTTATATACAGATCTGCTTTTAAACAGTATAGACCATCAAAAAAGAGGAAGCAGATAAGGCTTCACAGGGCACATGGGTGGCAGTGCCTACTGCTCTCTAAAAAGCAGTGAATTGCTTTGCAGAGGGCAGTATAGCAGCCTAGCCATTCAGGAGGTAGCAGGATCTCTGTCTGATTTTGTATTAAAAAGATGCATGATAAAAGAGAGACAAGTATTTGGCTCGCAGTTGTGGTGCACTCCCATTGATTTTAATGGGCACTTTTGACAGGCAGTGCCACCTGTGAACCTCTGTTGGCCAAGTCAAAATTGCCATGGGCCGGACTGACAACTCATGGGGCCCCTGGGCAATAGGGGATCAAGGTGGCCCCTGTATCCTTGCCCAAACTCAAAAAAGCCTATGAAAAAGGTACCAGGGGCATCTCATGGGGACCCCTACTGACCCCGAGCCATTGGGCAGTGCCTGAGTTTCCGAATGGTCAGTCCGCCCTGGCCGCAACCTGTATACAGTCCCATCCAGTTTTAATGTTAGAAATTAGGAGGGGGGCCATGGGGGTGGTAAAACCATGGCTCAGCCACCCATGTGAAAGATCTTTATCCCTTACAGATCTTTACCTGTTTTGCCCAGCACAGAAATAGTTACTTCCCATTATTCAGAGTCATTTATTACAGAATAGAAATGAATAAAATTGCCTCTACTTCATTTTCTCTGTTTAATTTCCCCTCGGAATACTGAAATCATCTCTTTGTCTAACGCTGATATCCAAAAAAAAAACATTATTTTAGTTTCACAGAAAACAGGCAGCGGCTTTACGAGCCCAGGAAAATTACCCGACAGCCCTCAGGGACGGGGAAAACGCTCAAACAAGGGAAAGAATCAGTGCAGAGCAAAATCACATAAAATGTGGGGTTTAATGGGATTCGTACGGCTCACAAGTTCCGGATGGGAAGCGCAATGGATGAGTCGCAAAGGAACAGAAAAAAAAAAAACACAGAAATTAAACTATAAAGATCTTTAGATAGTATTGATGGATTGCATGACGAGGCCAAAGGACATTGTGTTCCTTCTTTATCAGTGTGACTAATGGACACAACAGCCCACTGAAGGAGCTGACACAGCAGGCTGACAACGCTGCTGCTCATTGTGAGGTGGAAGCTTAGTGTTGTCAGCCTGCATAGGAAGTGCCGTTACTGGCAGGACCTCCAGCTAAGAAACCTTTAAACAGAGACCCCCCCAAAAAATTTTGTTTAAGAAAACTGTGTACAGTAAGGTGTGATGCAAAGTATGCTGAAAATAGATTTGGGGTTTACATACACTTAAAGTGTTACCAAACCCACAACAATACAATCAGTCTGTATATGCAGTAAAGCATGCTTGTTATACTCACTGTGGAACCTAAGGGGTTATTCCTCTGTAGTGTGTAAAAAGGCTGTTTGATCCTGTTTTCTCTGATCCTCCCCTTCATCCAGTGTCCCCCTCTTATCTCCTGATAAGACATATCGTGTGGAGTCACTGTGCACATGCTCAGTTATGTGGGCATTGCTACAGAGGTTTTTTTTTTTTTTTTTTGGTAGAGTGCATGTTATCAGCACAGGGCCAATCAGCACTGTCCAGACAGAGGTCTTTAGCAGTTTATATTTACTAAAATAATTGCATTTCCATGTTCTGTGTACTGTGGGTATAGTAAACGCAGGGTCCTGGGTTTAGTAACACTTTAAGCAATACCAGAAGTTGTAGGACAGCCGAAGAGGACACTAGGTGACCCAGAAGTAGCAGCAGAGGTGATGGAGGCCGGGAACAGAGCAGCAACAGAAAGCTTAGATCAGTCAGTGCTGGAGGGGGGCACACTAGTACACCATAATGTGTATATCATTTGTGAAGGGATACAATTACAAATTATAGACAAGGTTAGGATGGAAGAGAGTATCAGATAAATGGTACTTGTCCTGATAGATTTGTCAGTGCACTTGATAAAAAACATACCACACGTTTAAGGGGTTCAGGTGCCCTTCATCAGGGTTGTGGATATAGAAAACTGAGTATAATCTGGATGGTGATTGACATGATTCCCAGGAAGTAATGTGTTGCTTCTTTCCAAGTCTGCTTTCAGTCCTTGGTATGGCAGAACTAGCTGCCTATATTTGTAGATGTCAGGAGCATCTAGCCAGGGGTAGACTAACAACTCATGGGGCCCCCGGGCAGTAAGAGATAATGGGGCCCCTTGTGTCTCTGCCTACACTTAAGCCACACCCACACAACACCTCACCTACATATTGCAGCTCAGCTGCATAGAAAGGGCATTAAAAATAATTTTAGAAATAATAAAACAACGTCGTGGGGTCTCCCCTTCATTCATACCAAGCCCTTCGGGTCTAGTGTGAATGGAGTATGGGTCTAGTATGGGTTTTGAGGGGAACCCCCACACCAAAATTTAAAAATAATGGCGTGGGGTCCCCCCCCAAGATCCATACCAGACCCTTATCTGAGCAAGCAGCCAGGCAGGTCAGGAAAGGGAGGGGGATAAGCCAAGCCCCCTCCCCCCACTCCTGAACCATGCCAAGCCACATGCCCTCAACATGGGGGGGGGGGGGACTTTATGGCAGGGGCAGTGTTGTGACTTCTATCAGTGTTCAGCTGAGCACATGTTAAAGCTTGTAGGCAGAGTTTTCATTTTGCTCTAAGAAGATGTGGGACCCCTGACCTCTGTCTGGACAGTACTGATTGGCCCTGTGCTGATCACATGCACTCCCCCAAGAAAAAAAAAAAAAAACTCTCTAGCAATACACACCAAACTGAGCATGTGCAGAATGACTCCACACATATGTCTTATCAGGAGATAAGAGGGAGGCACTGGAAGAAGGGGAGGATCAGAGAAGTCAGGATCAAACAGCCTTTTTACACAAGGCAGAGGATTAACCCCTTAGGTTCCACAGTGAGTATAACAAGCATGCTTTACTGCATAAATAGACTGATTGTACTGTTGTGGGTTTAGTAACAATTTAACTATGATTTTGGGTAATGCTAGAGAAAGTGGTATAATATTTGCATTTTAGTAGTATGATTTTCTGTTATTGTTCAATCTGTGTTATTTATTCTATGTATTATTTTAATAGGAAGGATGGATTATTAGACTAGAGTATAATTTTAATTTATTGTTACAAAAATGTCTGTGGATGAGGTAACAATAGCCATACAGGCACCATTCTAACAGCAATGATTTTAAATATTTTTTGTTATTTGTATGAAGAAAATTCATTTGTGGAATTATTTTTTTTGTTTATATATTTAATTTTGGCACACTTAAAGTCCCCCTTTTTTTTTTGCTTTTCTCTTCCTTTACCTGAGAAGTGGAAAACCATTCTTGTTCTATATAGTTTTAATTTAGTTTTATTTGGCTCTAATTGCTGTTATTGGTATTTTATTGTGTCATTGGATCTTGTTTCCGTTCTTTATTGTGATCTTGTGTTGTCTTCGTTGAGTGTAACTGTATCTTAATAGTTTCGCTTTGGGATTATTAAATTATTATGATTGTATTGTATTGTAATGTATTCTTTAGTTTCTGAGCATGCATGGTTTTGGTCTTCTGATTTTTTTTTTTGGATGAATACTGTACTGATTAAATGAAAAATCAGACGTTCTGGTATCGTACGAGAAAAATATTTGTGTTTGTCCCTTCGGATGATTTCACATGAACTGTTGTGATTGGCTCTCGAAAGTTGTGTACTAATGAATAGATTATCAGACGATCACTCCGAAAGCGGTAATTTTCATCTGATTTTCTGATTGTGTGTATTAGGCATTAGTGATCATTGGAGAATTGAAGACTGAGGAAATGCTTCCTCCTGCCTGCAGTAGACTGGTGACCTCATCTCATCCCAAGTCACCTGAATGGTGAAGCTCAAGGAGGCTTCCTAACACTAAAATATGGAGGTTATTTGATAGTGTTGCTGTATATTGTGACGGGTCAGGAATGGTTTCCTGCAGACTTGAAGTTATGGTCCATTACAGTAGCTAGCCAATGAACATTTCAGAAAGGAATCTGGGAATCCTGAGGTCATTACATGACTTGTTATCACCCATGGGGCATTTGATCCGAGGGGATTTCTCATATCCCACCTGATAGCAGCTCATTATAAATTAGTTTGTTATCCCGGATGGACATATTGTGAAATATCGCCAAGCGCACACAGCTCAAACCTAAACGGCTCTTTTAATGGCGTATAAAACCTGCTTTTTGTGCTATTAGTATGTTAATACCATAGAAAATGGATTTCGTACGGCATACAGGTGTCATAGCAACCGTCCCATAAGCCCCCTCAGTTTCATAATCCTGGAAGAAAACACTCCAAGCCAACCGTTTAACTGCAGCGCAAACAAAACTTCACCGTTGCTGCAGAAGAAACAATCTTGTCCCTGGGAGAAGATATATTTTAACTCTAAAAGGCAGCAAGTAGAATCTGCTCATCCCCATGGTGCTACAATTACAACCTTTTTGAAATAACATTAATTAAAAAGGAACTTCACCCCTCCCCCGTCCCATACTAATTTTTTTTTCGTTGCCCTCTTAACTGGTTTTTTGGGTGTTCCGATGACCAGCCTGTCATGGGAGTCACTTTGGGTGGGGGCCCATGGAACACAGCTCACTATGGAGAGGTGGGGAGACCCCTGTCTCAGCTCCCCATATCCCTCTTATGTGTAAGTCACCCTGTGCCTGTTAGGGGTGCAGGGTGATCTGTCCTAATATCGGGGTGGGGGGTTGTGGATTGTTTAATGCCATGTGGTTGCATCCCATTGTTATATTGTGTGTCTTGCTGGGGAGCAAACTATTATGTGATGTGTGCTCCACAAAAAAATGTATTATGCAAAAAATATATATTTTTATTTAAGTTCCTACCCTCAAGGAGTTCACAATGTAAAGGTCCCTATCCCAGACACATACGTGTACTAGGACTAGTTTAGACAGGACCCAATGAACCTACCTGTAAGCAGGTGCTTCCAAAATATTCCGTGTGATAAAGGTTTTTCTTCTCGTATGTTATTCAGTACAGTATGCTGTATACCATCGTTTGTATCTTCCCTTCTCTGTACCCCTCCTCCTCTCTGCTGTTCAGATAGGGCTTTTTTTTTGTTTATTTACCTTTTTTTAATTATAATACTTCTGGCCTGCCCGCCTCCCATGCATGTCATTCGCCTGGGTGATTGATGTGCATATTGCCTGCTGTGCCTGCCGGATATGCACCTCACATATTCTAGGAGGCATCAGCATTCATTGAGAAATGAAGAGGGGGGTCTGGTCTAGTAGTGGGTCATTGGGTGAGCCGCCGGCTGAACCAGAACCATGGACTGGGTGTCACTGTGGGAGGATCTGGAGGGTGTTAGGGGACTCTGAAACAGACTTGACCCTGTAGGATGTGGTCCTGGGTGGCGGCCTGAGATTTCTCCAGGAAGATGGGGGCTTTTCAGGCACACAGTAGGTGACTGCATTGAACTGCAGGGATTGTTGGGCACTGTGGGACACTGATGGAGGCTGGGGGCACTATGGAGGGCTGGAGACTCTGCAGCAAGCTAGGGGAGCACTGCAGTGTGCTGGTGGACACTGTGGGAGGGTGACAGGCACTGCAGGCCACTATGGGAGGTTGGGTGGGACTCTGGGAGCTGTGAGGTACTGTGGAAGATTAGAGGATCAGCAGCTGGCTGGAAGACAGGGATGAGGGAGGCCACAGCATGGCAGTGGGCCACACCTGGTGGTTGAGAACCACTGACTTATGTATGTTTACTGCTCTCCCTTCTGTGCTGAACTGCACAACCATTTTACAAGAGGATGAGCAGAGAATTAAAGCTCCTTAAAACGGCACATTCTGTGAAGCACCTTTGGCCATGTCTTTTTAATTACCCTCTAATTTCCACAAAGCTGTATCACATCTGAAGTACATGATAATTACCCTGCGGATCACGAAGTCTGAGAATTTTACTGTTTAATCAAGCAGAGGATTCTTTACAGTGGGTCATGAATGTTATTTCATGTGTGAAAAGCAGGACAAAAAAATCTGGAGAGGTATTAATTCTGTTACAGTAAGAAGAAACTGTTATGTTATGGGAACTATGCAGTCACAACAGCCCCTAAGGGACCTCGCACATAGCTGTACAAATGGAGTTTTCTGCAAGGCATTTTAATGGGCAAAAATACTCTGCAATTATGGTTCTCGGGCTCTACAACATGAGTGTGTGCAAGAGTCCTACAATTAGAGGTGTATACCACCCATACCAGTCTTATTGCTCCAAGCCTTGATTATCAGCATCTACTAAATCACATGTGCCAAAACACAAGACCCGCAGGCCAAATCTGGCCCCTTGGGCCATTTCATGTGGCCCTTGCTCCTCTCCTGCAGTTGTGACACCCCCCTTGTCTGTGCCCCTCCGTTTCAGCAGTCAGCAGCACAGAGAAGGACAAAACTCCCCCTACAGATCCTGCACCACAGCTGCAGGCCCTGCTTATCTCTCTCCCTACCCCCCCCCCCCCCCCCCCAATCTCAACATTCAGCAGACTGCAGCAGTTGATTCCAGCCCTTCTCTAGTCCTCATCCAGACCCTGCACTTTCTGCTTCCCAGCTCCACCCCCAGATTCTTCCTGGCAGCAGCGCAAGGTAGGAGGGGTGCACTGTGATGTAAAGGAGGGTGGGGGTTCTTGACATCTGATGTAAGGGGGAGTGGGGTGCTCTGGACATCTAGTCTTACAAATACAACCGGCCCTTTGAGGGCAATCATAATGCTTCTGCAGCCCACAATGAAATTGCGTTTGACACCCGTGTATTAAATGGTGTCACATAACAGTATGATGTAAACTGTCTCACCTAATGAAACAAGTTCAGAGAGGTGTACACAGCTCATACCAGTCTCTTTGCTCCGGGCCTTGATTATTAGCACCTAGTAAATAATGCCAAATCCAACTTTTGATGAAACCTTTTCTTATCCACTGAAACAATGCATAGAAATCAGAGAGGTGTACAGAGTCCATACCAGTCTCATTGGTCCAAGCACTTGCAGTCTCTAATGTGTAGCGGGTTTAAGGTTGAGGGACAGGAAGGGAGTGAATATCTCCCAATGGGGTCACAGAGAGAAACCCGAGAAAAGTTTCCTCACTTTCTCTAAAACTAAGAAAATTAAAGTGTTACTAAACCCCCAACAGTACAATCAGTCTGTATATGCAGCAAAGCATGCTTGTTATACTCACTGTGGAACCTACAGGGTTAATCGTCCGCAGTGTATAAAAAGGTGGTTTGATCCGTTCTTCTCTCATCCTCATTTTCTTCTACTGTGTCCAATCCATCTGAAGTTCATACAGAGCTCTAGGAGTCACTCTGCACATGCTCAGTTTAGTGTGTATTTTGTATTTTTTTTTCTTTCGGAGGGTGCACGTGATCAGCACAGACCAATCAGCACTGTCCAGACAGAGGGCAAGGGTTTATGCAGCCACATTGGACAGTCAGAGCTGAATGAAAACTCCTCCTACAAGCTTTAACCAGTGCGCAGCTGGACACTGATAGAAGTCACAAGACTGCTCTAACTGCTGATGAGAAAAGGTATTTAGCTGTTTATATTTACTAAAATAATTGTTCATGTTGTGTGTACTGTGGGAGACCAGATATAGTGAATGTAGTGTTTGGGGAGACCAGATATAGTGAATGTAGGGTTCGGGGGGAGACCAGATATAGTGAATGTAGGGTGAATGTGAATGTGTTCGGGGAGACCAGATATAGTGAATGTAGGGTTCGGGGAGACCAGATATAGTGAATGTAGGGTTCGGGGAGACCAGATATAGTGAATGTAGGGTCCTGGGTTTAGTAACACTTTAAGGATGGCTCTGCACAGAACTTAAAATTGCAAAGGCAATATTGCAGTTAGGGTCCCGAGAGATTTTATTTTTATAGGCTGGCTATACTGTAAGAACCTTTGGAGATTTGCATAAGCCAGTGCATTCTACGTTCTGGTGACCAAATAAAAATAAAACATCAATTCCGAAAGGATGCGGTACTTAAAAGAGTATGACGTCTGTAGACTCTCCTCGCTATTTGTCTTCTATGACAAATAACAGTTTTCATCCATCTAGATGTTCAGAGGGGAGGAGAAAACTGGGAAGAGAATGAATATAATATATGAACCTCACAAGAAACATGACAAGTAAAAATCTCCTACAATCCAACCTGCAATTAAGTGGCGAAGGGAGGCAGGTAAAAGATGGAGGGAATACAACAATGGAAAAGTCTGCATTCTACTCAGGAAAATAGATTCTTTTTCAATGAAGTTCTGAGATCTACTGACAGATATAGAACTGAACCACAAGTAGATAAAAAATGAATGTATTAAAAAATCATGTCTTTGCACAAAGATAAAAAAAACCTACATATGTCATGACTGTCCTCCTGTAATACTCCATACAGTAAAAGAGAGAGGTATGTAGAAGTGCTATAAGCCAATGAGGGCTCTACCGCTTTGCCTACAATAGTACTGCCAGCCAACAGTTTGAACATGTCCAAGGGAAGACACTAACAAGTAACTCTTCACTCCCCGCCCTGCACCACTCAGACTTCAGGTGCCAGATGCTCTAGAAGATCGGATTGATGCGTTTCGTCATCAATACGTGACGTCTTTAGAAGCAGTCACTAATTGACTCAGTGAACAGTCTAGGGGTATGCTTTTCTGATGCTTTATTAGGAAACTTGAACTTGGATATGTTTAGGGTAACTGTGGGATACTCCAGTAACTCTTAGTGATGAACTTGAGGACACTAAACATTCTCTTAGTAAGGTGAGCAAGGGTTCTTACCTGCAGCAAATATTTTCAGGAGCACTTTAGTAGTGAATTCACTTTAGGTAGAACTGACCAAACAAAAATCCTTGCTTGCAGCAAGTGTGGACTGAGCTTTGTAATAGCATTGAGAATGTTTAGTTTTCTTTTAAGGATCTGAACAGAGTCCTTGCACAAGCAGTTAATGGACTGAGCTTCTCCAGGTCACAATGTCAGCTGACTCTATAGCACAAGAGGGATGACATCAGCACACAGCCTCAAGGATCTCTCACACCAGCCTGTACTCACTAATATCCTTGGATAGCTGGTTGCCTCTTTCCAATATCTTTCAGACACTTTTCCGGTGATACCGGGCTAGATCCTCAGTCAGTTCCAGCAACTTTCTGCAGAAATAGGCCCTCCATAGCCAGCCCAGCTGGGACCTTGCTGAACAATAGACACATAGCAGACTTGCCCGGGGGGCAAACAGCCCCCCTAGGCTCCTCCTCAGGTACAAGACCCCTCTGTTCCAGGTCTCAAACTATTTATACACCTTCCTAGTAACCATCTGTGCACTCTCCCACAGGGATTGGCTAAGACAGTATAAATATCCATGCTGCCATTTGCCTTGCTCTACACCTATGTCCCAGAAGCACTCAGAATGTTCTAGAGTGCAGGAAGGAGCAGTCAAACCTGCAGCCTGTGAAACACAAAAAAATCCAAATAATCACACACAGCCACACTGATTACAGTGAGCCCAGAGCTAAATTTACCCAACCTTGCACCTATCTAGGAGGGTGCTACAGAAGGACAGCGTGATGTCCTCATCAGTGTGCTCCTTCTCCAGTGTCTATTCACAGACTGGGGTTGGGGTGGTGACCAAGCTGCATTGGCAAAGTGCAGTAAAGAAAATAGAGGTCACCAACCTCAAGTCTCAGAGCTGCTGATAACTAACTAGTCTCTGGTGTACAATACTGTCTATAATGCTGACCTCCTTGTGAAAAGGTGAACTCTCTCTGGGTTCCATACTCTCCGAATCACAGATCCAAAAGAAGCATAAAGTAAACGGGAGATATTTAATTGTGGAACCTGCAAAGAACCACGAATTCCTGAATTTATCTCTGCTCCCTTGGTCTCAGTCATGATTCCCTACCTCTGCCAGCAATCAGAAGAGGATTTGCTATTTTCCCACGAAAAGCTGTAATCTTCCTCCCAGTAAACCCTGGAACAAACTGCATTACGTTGTGGGCTGAGATTCCTATCATTTCTATTATAGTTTATTCAGGGAGGAATTCAGCAATTTCATTTTTGTGTATAAGCATCCTCATAGCTGGAGAGTAAGGACATCACAATTCATTAAAAGACTCAGAATGTCCTTTTTAAGGTCAAATCCACTGATAACGAATGATTCAGTTTTGAGGGGACACAAGTGAGCTGAGTCACTTCGCTGACATCTCATATTCCACGGGAGCTCTGGGGGCGCAATACAAGACACGTATGGGGAAAATCACAAAGTTACCTTTATTAGCAACCCATTCAGCTGCCCATTCTCACCTTCCCTTTGCCAATTGAATATGGGGAGCATGTGGCCCTTTCTTCCAACAGGAGAGCAGTGGTGCTTGGCAGTTGGCTGCTCGGAGTGCAGGAGAGCACTTTCCAAGTCGCAACTTCCATAGGGCTTGTCCGCTTTGCTACCATTGGCCAAAAGAAGCAATGGAGGAGTTAAGCAGAAGGTGATTATGTCCCAGTGGTGGGGTCTCCATTAATGAGGAAATCTGTTGCTTTGACCTGCAAAGGGAAAACATTGCTTAACTGTAAGCGTTTTTGCCCTTTAAATACAGTGGGGACTGGCAGGTCCAGGGGTAATGAATAAGCGCTGTCTTTAGTGTGAAATGCGTTTACCTGCCAGTCCCCACTGTATTTCCACTGCCTGCATTGGTTTTATCTTGGGTCACAAAAGTGGATTGTTTGGAGTGCAGCTGATCAGACTTCCTTTGTTCTCCTCTAAATATAATGCAGAGTTATTGTGACTGTAAATCTCTGAATTGAAAAATTAACAGCATATCCTTCTATAATCCAAACAACTGAATGTGATTTCTGTCGGCTGTCTCCTTCTTCTGCTATCTGCATGCGTCACTTCTAACAAGAGATCCAGGGGGGTGGGAGACGAAGCTCCAGTAAGTGACTGACAGTCTTAGCTGTGCATGTTTCCCTATGATCTGTGCAGGGAGGGAGGGGATCCATTTCCTCCACTCAGGTCTCAGATTACAATCAGCTTACTGCTGTACGCTGTGCAATGTGTGACATCAGATTTCCGACCCCTGCCTACAGATGATCAGAAATGCTGTATAAAATATGCTCTTTAGGAGACTGTAGAAGAGAGATGGTTACAGATAAACAGGTACAACTTACATAGGAGAATTTGATTCATATATCTGTATCACCTAGGGCCAGTTCAGCCTTTTTCAACCTTTTCAACACAGAAGAACCCTTGAAATAACTTTCCAGTCTCGGGAACTCCTGCTAAAAATGACTATGTCTACAACTCATGATACATTAGTGTGATGGTCAGTGGGAAGAATGCTCCTTACACTTGTGGTCATTGGGAAGAACGATTCCCTTACAGGTTGCTAAAAAGATCAATGGTGTCAGTGGGAACTTATCTGAGAGGCAGTAATTGCTCATTGCTCAAGGAACTGCCAGCAACCTCTGGAGGAACTCTAGGGTTCCATGGAATCTTGACTGAGAAACCTGGGCTACTCACTGGGTATATGTAAGGTTTTACAACCACTTTAAGCAAGCTTTGAGCAGAAAAGAGTGAAAAGTCACCCATTTTTACTTACTACCTCTTATTTCATTAAAATCTCAAATTGTAACCTGGGATCCTTGGATGAAATATCTCTCAGCACCTTCCTAGGTCAGATAGTGGACAATATGGGGAATCTATAAACAGTATACATCTCGTGCCCCGCGCTTGGTGGCCCGTTCTTTTCACTTTTCCCTTCTTCCCTCTTTTCTTCATCTGTTTCCCTTTACGTTTCTTTTCCTGATATTGGATATAGTTAACTAAAGGACATGGGGGGCGTCTCCCATTATGACTTGTTGATCATTGGAGGTTGACCATCCATATAGGTTATGGTAGTCTCTGACACCAGGCCTGACAAAAAGTTTCACTTTAGTTTTCATTTTCTCCTTTACCTTATTGTTATGAGCCTTACACTATAGGTCCCAATGGGACCCTTTTGGTTATCATTGACTGGCAATTGTCCTGGAAAGTTGTATTTTGTGCATTGCTTGTATCAGCCAAGACGGGAGGCAGTAAATCATGCTGCATATTCATGAATGAATTTGTGTGTTGCCTGGACTATTTTTAGGTTCGGCTATATTGAGACAGTAAACACTTTAGCTAATAAACTCATCTAATAGTGAAGGATGAGATCTCCGTACCAACGCTGCGAACAAAACAATTAGCCTTGTGGGTGAAATTAGACAAAATTATTGACCTTCAGTGCAGAGGGCGGCTGTGCCACAAAGAGAAACGGCTGCATCTACATCCTTCAGATGGGAGAGAGTGAGGCATCAGAACAGGAGGGGCAGCATTCTGGAAATGTGGGTGTGGTTTGTTATGAGTGGGTGTGGTTTACTAAAAATAAGCATGGCGATATAGTGTTTTCAAAATAGATAGTGCCGCGCTCCCATGTACCAATATGTATATCTTATACTTTCAAAGTGCTAATGAATAGCTTTCAAGATACTGCATGTATCAAACAATTATTACTAGTGACTCAAAACATCATTGTGAATATTAATCTTCATGCAAGTGACATTAATAACTGATAATCCTAAGGTGATAGTGCCTATTAAAGTACAGTGATA